TTATGCACCCCATTAATAAATTATTTATTTACATAGTAAAACGAAAATAGCTTGTATCGCATGTTCGTAAACGTTTAGTGCTAAATTTAATAAGCAGTCGAGGAGTATTGTTTAAATATTATTCAAACGCCAACAAAGGAAAACTTGTGACGCTTCTGGTGGCAATTTTCTTTTGAATATTTAAACAAATACCTATCGAGAGCAGGAATAATAATTCCTGTTGGAAATGTCGGAAGCAAAACGTATCGAATTTCGAGGGGTGAAACTACCCACTAACTAAATTATTGTTGCCAGGGTTGGTTAAACTCCTCGCATATTTCAATAGATGAGAACCGGTGGAATGATTTTGGGTTAAAGTGATAAGTGGTCTCTGGAGATTTAAGGTTCAATTTCTCATTGATTAATTAATGGTCAATTAATCGGACATCTTAATCCGAATTCAGTAATTTTAGAAGTAATTTTAAATTAAAAAAAAATAAAAATATATTGATTTCAACAGTACGTACATAATGATATTTATTCAACATTTAAACTGATGTTGTTTTTTACCTTTCAATCCTTCTGTTTTTTCAATAAAATTGCGCTATCACTTGCAAACAAATAAGGTGTTGACATAATATTTTCTATTTGTTTTTGTAATTTGCTGTTTTATGCATACACTGGTGCAATGTAATAATTACCACAAAAGATGAAATAAATAGGTGTCAATTTCACATAATAGAATCGATCGATTCTCATCTGAGCAGTTTAATTACACACTTCATCTTTTTTTTCCTGGTTTAATATTCTAACAGCCAAAAAAAAAACTAATCTTAGTTCAACAAAAGCACCTTTGTTCCCATTTTGGCTTTGTTTCTCTAGGCTCTAACCTATATTTTAATAAAGGACAGAGAACAAAAAAAAACTAATGTGAAAGGAATTTTAATTATAATTTTGTTATGTATGGGACCAATTCTACAATATCTATAGTCTTTAGAAATCAACTGACGTTTGTGGATTTTTTGGGTTATCGTCTTTAAAGGGCTCGACTTTGTGAGGAATTTCAAAACAACTTCTTTCCACAAAACATCAATCCAAAATATAATTCTGAAAAAAATTGAACGTAAGGTTGGTGTTTGTAGTATATTAATTTATTTTATTTTAATTATATATTTATTTATTTTAGCATTTGCTAGTACAGTTCAGCTTCAAAAGTGGAAAATAGATATACAACGTAAACTAAATATTTAAGTAAATGTTTATCAATTTACTCTTAAAAACATGTGTGCTAGATGATGATTTCATTGAAAAGTCTTAGTCCATTATTAATTTTTTTTTTTGTAGTGCTGCAGATCTTGCCAATTCAATATTCTATGTAATTACCCCCATATCTCACATTATAATTATGACACTATGATCTAGGAACTAGAAACTGAATAATAGTACATTATATACCTAGGTAGAGAAGTTGGTCATTATATACCGAACGTTTTTATAAACCGAGGCGCAAAGCGCCGAGGTTTATAATGCGTAAGGTATTTAATGACTTTCTCTACTGAGGAATATATAGAATTTTTTTTACTACTGCTAGTAGGAAATAAAAAAATAGGTTTGAAATCTGTGCTCAAATTATTTTTTCTTGTCGAAAGTGCTGCCCTCTATCAACAGCTTATGGTAACTTATTATAATGTACATACAGGAACCTGCTTTTTTAAAAATTGACAGTTTAAAATTGAAATTAAACCAATAGAAACCTGTAACGTTATGGCAATATCCTTGCGTCATGACGTCATTTTCATTATTGACCTAGGTATTTTTTCATTATTTTCATTATTAACCTAGGGAGAGAAATTCAATTTTTTTCCCAGAAAAATAGATGGAATAATGACAACTTCTCAGGTTAGTAGTAAAAAAAATAATTTGGGTACAAGCTATTTCCTATTTTGTAGATTATTAACAAATTCGACAATTCGATGAACTCCTGAACATATCCAACGCAACTCTGATTTCATAACCCTTATCGGTGTGTATCTACTAAAACCTAATACAATTCTCATTACCTTATTCTACAAGCACTGCAATCTGCTTATACAAGTGGAATTACATGATATCAATTAGTCTAGGAAAATTATCGATTTTCAAAAAAAAAAACTCTTACCCAAATAAATTTTCCAGGGATGATAGGGGGCGGGTGGGTGATCATAAAACCGAAGATATCACACATTCACCCCTCTGGTGTTTTGCGCTATAGGGGTTGAAAATGCGCCATTAGAGATTACTTGGTACCTATTGATTTTACAACAAAATATTTCTAATAAATAATGTGCAACATTATTTGATCAACAATGTTTATCTGAAGACTTTTTTGATTAAGGGCCGTCTGTGGTCATAAGAGTCGTTTGAAATTTATAATGAAAATGAAAAAAATTAACCTGAGGGAAGTCTCCCCCCGCTGAATGGGGGTGAGTTACAAAAAAAGTTGATGGGGAAAAATTGTAGGAAATGTAATCTTATAAAACTTTTATTAAGATTTTTTTTTTGTATGAAGATAAAAAAACTTTAAACTACCCCTAGTGAAAAACGGCAGGGGGTGAGTAAAAACTTCATTAAGCAGAAACGTTGTATAAGTTGTAGAAATTTTTTTCACGTTGGTAATTTTTTTTTATTTTCATTATAAATTTTAAACGGACCTTATGACCACAGGCGGCCCTTAATCAAAAAAGTCAACAATAATGACTTTTGGAACAGTTAACATCACATCACCATCACTTTTCATACTGCAATCTGCAGTTACCAACAACAAATTGACATGCCGTAGCAGTTTTCGATCGGAATATCGAACCAACTACTCCATATTTCAATTTATTATTGTAACCCATACACATTGATTGATATAGTATTGATTTGCTCCAACTTTTTTATATCACTGAACTTTACTGGAAAATTCATACCTGTTAGATACAGAACTCTCGCATAGTGTGGGTAAGATATTATCTGTGAAGCCATTCTAGCTGCGAGAAATAATGCTGATGTGACAGCCCAAGCAAAACAACACTGGTGCTGGTTTATCACATTAATGATGGCACCTTTGTTTCTTCCTCCTATGCTCATTAATTTTTGTTAAACGGTTCTCAAAACACTAAAAATCAACGCTAATATCAATACGAAGATTTTGCACACTCACACTTCCCGTACCACGCAATCTTTGTAAAACGGGTACAATGCTCATTTATGGGCGCCGTTCTATTGGGCAATCCTTGAGTAGGTACTTTGCAACGATTCTGCCTACACAAGTATCTGCATATTCGACGTTCGTAAACATTTTATTTTCGAAAAAGAATTATTTACGCGCGTTTCCAATAAGTCAACTAACTGACATGACAAAACAAACCAAGAATCTATTCTGTCTATACCTATTCTTTTTTGTGCTTTGTTGCCAAATTTTCAGATACCGAAGTACAAGTAAAATTGTCATGTAGTTTTTTCAATTTTTCATTATTATTGTTGACCAAAAATGACCCATCTTGCCCCACCATACTACAGATCCGTAGGTTATCATTGATCTGATAAACATGATGTAAATCCAGTAGATTTGCTTCGGATCTGTGATTTGTGCCCCAGATCTTTCCACAGATCCTGCGGCAGTTCCAAAGTAACAGTTTTGCTTTCTGGCTCACTTTTCTCAAATGAGCATTTCCGTTTTAAGTCTTGTCCAGGATGACTCCCATACTTCTCTTCACTTGAAAATGGCACTATTTCTCCCCGAATTTTCAGAGGTACCAAATTATCGAGTTGTCTTCTCCTGGTGAGGATTGATCATAATTTTTTCTCTTTCACACCAATCAAACACGCAGTCTAACACTTCTTGGAGTGCAGCTGCGACCTTGGATATTATTACATCGTCCACATATTGTTGAACCTCGGCCCCCTCATAGTGGTATCACGGACAGTAGGTCATCTACCAAGAGTTACCGCAGAAGCGGAGAAAATACTCCTCCCTACGGACAGTCCCTGGCAGCCCTGAACCTGACCATTTCCCCCTGTAGAGAAGTCGTTATCATTCTACCGTTCTGCATGGCCCTTGATCCAGTTACAAATTAGAGGGTCGATGCCTCTAGATTTTGATGTCTCTTAGACTCCAGGAAAACGGCGAGTGCAATGCTTTTGTGTTCCAGACAGCTATGTTAGCTACCAAGTTGCTAAGAGCCAGCTGTCTGGACTTTCTTGTCTGATAGGTACCTATATTGATGAGTACCTAGCTACTAAGGGTAGAAGTAGTATAACTGGGCGGGCTCTGTATCATACAGTGGTCCATCTGAATGCTAATGAAAGAGATAGCAAGCTAGGTCATGCGCGTCATCTAATATGCTTCATTCAACCTATCTGTAATTTGTAGAAGATATGAAGTATGATAGATGGTGTGGGCAAAAATATAATTTGAGCCTGTGATTAAACAATAAGGACAAATATTTGAGCCACAATCTCTACATATGAGCACTTTTTTTCGTTTAGAAATGCTTTTTTTTTAAATTGATTCATTTTTTTTCGAATGAATTTATGAACCTCTACACACACACTGTATAACGACAAATATCATCATCAATTATCTCGAGGGCAACAACAATAATCTCGAAGCGCCAAAACAAGTCGGAATTGAGAGGGAAGGAAATTGAATTAACCGTACAGAAATCACGGAAACAATTCCCCAAAGCGCCGCGCCGGGCGAAAATAAAAATATAAAAAATCGAACACAATATCGCGAGGCCGCCGAACAAGTTGTTTCTCGGCTGCAACGGAAAACTTCAATTTATTGTACTTATACAAGCTGCCACTGTGATAAAGTCAATTTGGCATGGGGCGTTTCTTGATTTATACCGGGCGGAAATTAAAATACGGACCTAATACACTTATCTGGAACGCTGTTTATTTTGTCCTTTGGAGATTTAAAGTGAAACCAACAAACATAATTCAAAAGAAATATAATTTAATAAAAATAAACAAATATTATTTTGAATTTGCAGTGCGACGGCCCAATTGTGGCAGGAACAGAAAGTATATGTCTTCCCCAATCCAGGGTGAGTTTTAGATAAAATTTGATACGCTGTTTTAGTAGAATGCGTAATAATGTGTACATTAACACCAGTCAACGTACGATACACTACAAAACAAACAGATACAGCTGAATAGATTTTTTTTTTGGTGTTAAAGGTGTTGTGGTAGGAAGTAGCAGCTAAAAATAGTTTGTGCTTATTTTAAAACATTCACTATGGGCTAAGTAGAAATCACAATGTAGACATGATTTTATTGTAAATAAGTGTGTTGTGTGTAAATATATATATTTGACAAACATATCTAATTGGTTGTAATAGCATGTAACATCCCCAAATATATATTAATCGTGTAATACATTGTAACAGAAGCCTCTCCATTGTCTTTACAATATACAGGTTCTTCTTTAGCCAGCTTGACTCTTAATCCTTTTGTGCACGACAAGCCCTTTTTAAAAGGTGCTCCATCGCGATCAAGTGCTGATAAGTCTTGAGACCATTGTGCGTCGTGAAAGAGTTTTTTTTTTCACACTTTGTAAAGACAATTTTATTATTCCCAACGTTACGCTATGTAAAATCTCTCACATTTTCAATTTCATATTTCGCGAAATGTAGATATACAATTTAAACGCAAAACGTCCGCATCATAAATTATCCTTATTTGGTATTCTGTATACGTAAAGAGAACGCGAAAGCTATGTGGGGCAAAAAAGTTTCGCAATTTTATACAAGAACAAGTGTAAAGTGATGGAGAAAATGTTTGCGGACTCTTTTCGAAAACGAACAAAGCCATTATACTTTTGCGTTTTGAGTTTCCTCTAGGTGAGTTATACAGACATCATATTTCAAAGTGTCACAAGTGAACAATTTGAATAATGCATTTTTGTTTTACATGTAAATATTCGCCACCAAACAAGTTACCCGGTGTAAGGGTATCAATATATACATCTCAGAAACAGCAGGTGCGACAAGAAAAGGCCAAAAATGATTCAACTATGAATAAAAATACTAGTTTATGCTATACCGTGAATGGAAAAGGTTTCAGGCTGATTGACTCAAAAACAAAGAAGAGGAATATTGGAGAATAAACAAATCCTGCAGTAAAGAAAACCAACAATCCATAATTTCAAGCACAGGCAGGTGAATAAACTAGAACATTCAGATCATGAGATATGTCAGTCTCAGGAATATTCTCAAACCATTGAGCAGTCTCTTACAAATTTGCAGAGTGGCAAAATGCAATAGCAAGCGAGTTGGAGCAACCACAATCATTTTACAGACAGCAGCAGATATTACCTGGTATCAAAATACAAAATATCGAGACAAATGGAATGAGATTAGGGTGGCTTATGTCCAGAAGTGAAAGGCTACTAATGAAAGAGAAGAGGAAGATGGATATTTTTAATCAAACAGAATAGTTCAGGAAAGGTTTGTCTAATTGCTAAAGGAGGAAATCTTTTGGAACTATGTTTGCAAGTTGTAACTTTCCAAATGTCACAAAAATATATTTATTGTTCTTAATTATATAGTTTGAACTCGTACACATAGGGACATCTATGATTCTTCTGATTAGTTTTCCTAACCTAATATCGAGAATTCTGTTGTTTCCGAGCCACCTGTAGCGCTGTCATTTTTATGATTTTGTCAAGCTTGACAGACAAAGAAGGAAGAGACAGAACCAATTTGGGTACTGACTGGCCCTTTTCTCTTTTGTTTTGGGACCGAACAGGTCATCCAGATTTTTAGAAGTTATTATAAATCCTAAAACTTTACCTTCATTTTTGGCCATCGAGTCAATATTCTTACCGAATAACTAGCCAGAAGAGTGCTCGCTCGTGTCTACTAGAAAGTTTTCTGGAAAACCAACCGATTGTTGATTTTTGTGAAGATTTTTGAAAGTGAGGTTACTATCGGCCGTTCAGATATGCAAATTTCTTTTTCTCTCTGATGAATGTGTCCTTATAGACTGTGAGATAGGGGCTGTTTAGTGGAGTCATTTTTTTTTTGTCTGGCATTTTGAGGGCTGAATGTGGCTACTAAGCTGATGAGAATATGGGTGATTTTAATGCCTGCCTCCCGTTCGAAAATTTGCAGAAGAAAAAAATTGATTTAAATGAGGAATTTTTTTTAAATGATCTCACATTTTTTGGCTTCTAAATAAAAGATTCACATTGATAAATAATTCACCCATAAAAAATACCAGATACTTTTCAATAGCTGAAAAAGTGGGGATGAGTGTCAACTTCCAAGAGAAAAGAAAAGAACCTTCCGCGTTTACTTTTTGTCTGGTAATCGAGAGAATGGAAGGTTTTGTTGTGAAAATATCGCTGAAAAATCGCCAGACCGTAATCCCAGTTCGAAGTCGAGTTTTCCGGCGAAACATTCTGTGGACATTTCGAACAGGTGGCAGGCACTAAAACCACCTATATTCTCATCAGCTAACTAGCCACATTCATCCCTCAAAATGCCAGACAAAAAAAAAATGACTCCACTAAACAGGCCCTATCTCACGGTCTATGATATCCCCTCAATTCATTCAGGCACCTTCGGCAGGACGAAAAATCCGTGAAAGCACTTCTCCAAGTGAAAATTGACAAATTTGAGACCACGCTGTCCTGAAACTCAGAGTAACTCTGGGCCCCCTTTTCAAGGAAAGTTTGTGTCCTGTAAGAAGTTGATCCCCAACCATTATTTGATTGTCTCCAGCCAGTTTGGTACCTCCGGAGCTCAAATTTGTGAAAGCTTCGGAGGCTTTACAAGGATTCCGTCCAGGCTTGTATAATTACTTACCTATGGGTGACCTAAACGTGCCATTTTAACTACCGTAACTTATTTTTACCTTTTCTTTATTGCCGCCTATCGTTTAGCTTTATTAGCTAATTAATATCTATGTAGATCAAATTACCGATTTAAATTGTTTACCGTATAGTAGTGTTTAGCTAGAATAGCTAACTACTGTTAGAACATTCACTATTACTATTTTCCAAATTAAGTTTATATTGAATAGGTATTTCTGAAATTTTACATGTTGTCATTTCAAAAACATTCAAAACTTTTTGAATATGCTCTTTTTGATCAATAGTTAAACCAAAATCTGTTTATGTGATATTCAAGCCTAAAAATGTCATCTTGCTATCATCAGTTAAATCACGCATTTCAAAAACATTCATAAGCTCTTCTTTAACTTTACAGTTTTCTGATGTTAATTTGGAAACTAAAATCAAATCATCTACGTGTATCAATAAATAGGTATGTTAAAAATAGTACAAGCATGGATCACTTTTTGATCTCACAAAATTTAAATAAGTACAAATTCGGTTTTTCATACCAGCATTTTGGAGATTGGCGAAGTCCATATAGTGCTTTCTCTAATTTACATAATTTTGAGTCATCATCAGGTTTAAGTTCATCTGGTATTTTCATGTACACTGGTTGTTTTAAGTCTGTATTCAAAAACGCGCACTTTACATCAAGCTGATGTATTTCCATATCTTCTTGAACAGTTAAAGATAACAAGATACGTAATGTGTCCATTCTTGCAACCGGTGAATACACTTCTTCACTTAAGTCTGTTGGCTCCAATCTTGCTTCCTTTATTTTTTCACCAATAACATCTTTTTCACAAAAAAAACTATCTAGAATCGATCACTATTTCACTATCTGGAATACTTGATTTAGGCACTCCATGTGTTGTTTTTCTTCAATGATAATAACTCTTGATTTACTGCTTCATTCCATCCACTATCTTTTACAGCTTCCTGATTGGTGTCTCAACTTCAGTTGAGAAATCTCCAATTGATAAAGCCATCATCGTTTCATAATTCTCCTAGCGTTTAGGTAAGACTCTGTGCCTTGTTTCTCTTCTTCCATTGTTATTTTCTTGTGCGTTCACATTATTATTTTCCATTTCATCATTTTCACTTTGATTTTCTCCATCCAATTCAGATTCATTCTTACATATTCTCATCTCATTCTCCTTTATCTTGTTTCTCCACCCATCATTTTACTTTCATCATAAATTACATTTCTGGAGGTAATTATTTTTCTGGAATTTGGGTCCCATAAACGATATCCATTATCAGTATATCCCACTAAGAACATCTTACGGCTTCTGGGATCCAATTTTCTATGTTTATCCTCTACTGAAATATGTACATACATGTGCTGTGCAACCAAAAACTCTTATCTTTTGAAGATTTGGTTTTTGTTTGAGCCAAATTTCAGATGGGGTTTCATTCTCTGATAAAACAGATGTTGGGGTTCTATTTATGAGAAATGCTGATGTGGCAACAGCCTCTTTCCAAAAATCTTTGCCCATATTTACCTCGAAAATCAAGCATCTTGCTTTTTTTAATAAGGTTCTATTGTAACGGTCGGAAATTCCATTTTATTCGGGGGTCATTGATATTGTGTATTCTAACTTGACACCTTTTTGTTTACAATAATTCTTAATTTCGTGAGAAATATACTCCCCGCCATTGTCACATCGTACTCTTTCAGGTAATCTACCAAATTTGTTCTTGACCATTGCTATGTATTCTTTAAATTTCTGGCAAACTTCACTCTTATGGGTCATAAAATAAATCACTGAAAAATGTGAGAAGTTGTCTATGAAACTAACAAAATACTTCATACCATCATGCGTTACTGGATTTATAGGTTCACAAACATCACTAGGAATCACTATTATTCTTTTCGCCTTTCTCTCTTCTGGCAATTGTACGAATGGTTTTCTTATCTGTTTCTCTTATAAACAGATTTCACAGATTTTCGAACAAGGATACTTGGACGAATGCCCCAATCTTCGGTGTAAAATATCTTTTTCTTGCACTGTGATATTTGCTTGCATTTCTGGTATTTCAAAGTTCACAATATACAAATTTTCCATTAATTTTCCTGAAGCTACTTTATTTTCACCATTCAAGACTGATATCTGGCTTTTGTCAAAGATTATCTTGAGTCCTTTTCTTTCTATTTTCTTTACAGATAATAGATTATGCGAGAGATTCTTACATACCAAAACATTT